GGTAAAGAACTTGCCTTGATGTGGCTAATCTGGGTGCAGTTCCTGGATTTCAGACTCAACGTTGCCTAAGGTCCCCTCAGCACTGCCAGGAATGATCCCTAGGCACAGGAAGCACCCCAAACCCACAAACAAATACTTTGAGAATAAGCCCGTGTCCCCACATTTCTTCCTTGCTCCCTGCGCAGGTCTGCAGGGAGTAGAACCAAATCCATCCTCCCGTCTTCCTCGTATTGAATAATCTTGGACTTGAATTTGATAGGCAAAAAGGCATCTCATTTTTAGGTCAGTTCTGAGAAATGCTACTTCTTCCCCATCAACAACTTTCAACCAGTTACCTCAGAGTCTTCACAAGAAAGGGAAATACAAATAACAAGAGACATCTTGCTTCCCCTGTGCTCAGTGGACCTCTGGTCTTTTTTTATGATTGGGGTTGGCAGGGGCCATGTGAGGCAGGGATTGAACCCCGGAGCCCAGGCTGGAGCCACCCACCTGGCACTGTGCATGGTTACTCCTGGCTCTCTACTCAGGGACCACTCCTTGCAGGACTCATTGGGACCCTGTGGAGTCAGAGATTGAACCCAGGTGGAGTCGTGCAAGGCAGGCACCCTACCCTCTGTATTGTTTCTCAGGTCCCCTTTGTGCAGATCCTTGGTAAGATCATAGAGATTTTGTTGGAGTTGCAGGTGGCCACTCTGGAGGTGGTGTGCTCAGAGTTCGTGCTGGTGATGGGGGGACGGGAGCGTTTATTGGTTCCCTCTGCCTATGAGCTCCTCATTTGAGGTCAGGCTTGGCGGTGCTCTGGATCACTTCTGGGATCAGCACAGGGACTCAGAAAATATTGGTGCCAGAAATAATAATGAATGAGGGTGCCAGAGCGATAGTACAGCAGAAGGGCGCTTGCCTTTTACACAGCCAACCTGGGTTTGATCCCCGGCATCCCCTACGGTCTCTCAGCACTGCCAGGAATGAAAGAAATAAAAAGAATGAATCCCTGCACCTACGTACTTTGCTAACAGTCAGTTAACGTGAGAAATGGAGCCGGAGGGGGATATAGCAGAGCTCAGCTGGTAGATGACAGACAGAGGGGAAGGTAAGAGCCTCAGCCAGGCGTCCGCCTGCCCTGAACCTGCAGTGGCCGCATGTGGCTGCTTTTTTATTTATTAACTGCACGTCCAGTGTCCATAGCGTTTGTAAATACTTGATAAGAAACGACCTCGTCTGATCAAAAACTGTCTTTGATTTGGTTAGTAAAAGATCGAGCCTTCTTTGGCGCTTATGGGGACCTTGTGTCACTTTGCCGCCAGCCCTTGTGCCCTCAGGTCTTTGAACATTGAGCCCCCCCCCCACCCCCCCCAGGGACAAGATACACGGTGGGGCCCACCCGGGCTCAGTGGGAAGTAATGTAGCATAGCAGTGAAGCAGACTGAGAGCATGCCCCTCACCCCCGCCCCGCCCCGCCATCTGGAGCTGGCTCAGGCCAGGCCACTGAATTTGTGGTTGCAGATGCCAAGTGGCACTGGAGTGGCGGGTGCAGTGGGCATCATACAAGGTCAGCAGTTTAAACTGGGAGCACTGGCCTGCTACTGAACGTTTCTGCTGCTCCAGACTCTTTCCTAGGGGCAGTTCACAAGTTGCTCAGAGGGGGATTGTTTTGTTTCCTTGGGAGAAGCTTGGGCCACATCACACCCAGCAGTGCTCAGGACTTAACTCCTAGCTGTGCACTCAGGGATCACCCTGGTAGGGCTTGCAGGGGTTTTGTATGGGGTGTGAGGCAAGTGCCCTACTCGCTGTACTATCACTCTGACCCCAACACAAGTTTGTTTTTTGGGGGGGTTTGGGGCCACAGTGGCTCTCAGGGCTTACTCCTGACTCTACACTCAGGGATCACTCTTGGCACGCTTGGGGGACTATATGAAGTAGGGAGGAGAGTGAGTGCTGAAGATTGAACCCAGGAAAGCCATGTGCAAAACAAATGCCTACCCACTGTACTGTTTCCCCAGCTCTAAGTTTATTTTTTTATTCTTTATACCTAGCTCAGGCCTTGTGGCCTCAGAGTCGTTTCTTGGTGCATTTACACACACTACTGCCACCCAGTCTCAAAGCTGCCCAGGCCGGGGCGGGCTTGGCTGAGTGAAGGGGCAGTGAGACTCCTGAGAGCATCCAATGGTCACCATGATAGCAGACCTGACAACTGACTTCGGCTGCCTCATTCCCCCTTATTCCCCCTCTGCCCAGCACAGAGCCTGGCACCACAGCAGTGCCCCGGTAGACTTAGTGAATGGCCGATGGGTTTCTTGCCAGACTTTGGGGCATGCCTTAGGAGACAAGCTGACTCTACTTTTCATATTCTTAGAAGTACACACAGGAGCAGAGCCTAATCCTAGGTTAGTCCCAAAATCAAAATAGTTAAAGAGAAGGAGGAAATCCTGCTGCTGAGTTATTTTGTGTTCTAAACCCCGTTCTAACACTAACCGAGTCCTCCAATTCAAAGTGAATAAGGTTGAGTGAATTTTTGTGCAAAGTGTGATTTAGTCATGCCTCGTTTTCCTCAGCATGTGGGGAAGCTGCTGGGTTCTTTCCTGGGCAGCCTTCCTCTATCCTTGAGTGAGGCTGGTGCTCTCCTGGCCCCTGGCCCATGAATGGCCCCTGGCCCTCAGCAGCCTGGGTTGATGAAGGTTCAGAAGGGGTTAATCAAAGTGGGGCTCTAATTTCGTGTCATGTTTTGATATGAGCCGATGAGTCATCGTTTGGCGGAGCAGTTTGCCATCCCTGACAATGTTTGATCTTGACAGAAGAGTTTTCTAATCTGGAAATGGTGGCGAGGTGCTCTTCAGAAATGCAGAGTCAACAGTTGGGGAGGTGGCAGAAAGCAGAACAAAGAGGCGGATTTACTAGGCACTGGGCCGGGTCCACTTGAGACTCCTGCCTGGCCCCCGCCCCTGCTGCTGCCTCCCCCCCCCCAAGACTTCTTCACGCCCCTCCTCCCCACTGACACTGGGAAAAGAAGGAAAATACAGCTTCTGTTTGCTTTGCTGCATGTCGGTGGCTGGATGCCTGGCCCCCTTCCCAGAGTCCCTGAGAGGACTTCAGATGTGGTTGGGGAGGTAGCCGGATGGTGCCAGCCTGCCGGCCCTCATCCAAGCAGACCGCACCGGCACCCAGCAAGGGGCCCAGAAAGGCAGCAAGCCCAGCTGCCGGCTACCCAGGCACCCCTGTGCACCCCCTTCTTGAGGCGAGAGTAGTTTTCCCCAGGGGACTGACGGCATGCCCTCTGGGGACTTCGCCCCTAAACTACGACTCAGAGTGGACAGACACACTGGGAAGGGGCAAGGCCCATCTGGAAAACGCGTCCCTAAACTGGCCACATGGAAGTCTTTGTGAAGTGGGGAGGCAGAGCGCCAGACCACTTGCCGCCTTGGGACTGCCTTCCTGATGGCCTCACACACCTCCTGGGCTCAGGCGGGGTCATGCAGTGCCGGCTGTGAGGCTGAGCTGAGCTGTCATTTCTCCCCAACTTTTTGCTGGCATTTGCACCAAGCAAGTCACTGATGTCTGTGTCCGCTGCTTCTAGAGCGGAAGAACAGCAGGCGTGCCGCACAGGGTGCTGGCAGCCATCGGTGGGTGGTAATGCTGGGGGAAGGTGCCTCGAGGCCTGGCTGCTTGCAGCCCCCTGGGGCTGTTGGGGTTTATGCTTCGTGGCAAGGACTGAAATCTTATCCTCGCCTCGCAGTCCTGCATGGCAATTGGAGCTTCTGCCCCAGTGACACAGAGGGGAGGATTGCACAAGAGACAGCCTGAGCGGGCTCCCCGATGTCCACCCATCGGATCTCCAGAAATGAAACCATTGTGCTCCTTTTTGCAGGGTGACCCTGAGGCCTCTGCTCCCTTGCAGGAGTGACCTGCACTTGGCATTGCACAGTCACCTGACAGGAGCCCTGGAGGCTCAGTTGAGGTCTCTCTCTCCTCCCCAGTGTGAGGCCGGGAATAGCCCTGGCGCGGCATCAGTCCACTCCCAGCACCCTCCGCTTTGGCTGGACCAGCAGCTTTCCAGATTCCTTGGTCTGCTCAGGGATTAACTGCTACTTCTGCTGTCTTTTTCCATGCTGGCCCCCAAGTGCTTCCACTTGCCTTTATTCCTGCACATTCTTATCCTGGCAGCACTGACAGGGATATGTTGGTGATGGTGGGGGGCCAGTTACCAAGAAGCAGGTGGAATGGTGTCTACCAGGAGCTGAAAGGAGAGTCAGGTTTTTTTGACACCGTAGAATATGAATCCCAACCTGAGTTCAACCTCTGTCTCTGGGGTTGGAGCAATAGTACAGTGGGGAGGGTGTTTGCCTTGCACATGGCTGACCTGGGTTCAACTCCTGACATCCATAGGGTCTCCCAAGCACCACCAGGAGTAATTGCTGAGTGCAGAGCCAGGAATAACCCCTGAACATCGCCGGGTATGACCCAAAAACAGCAAAAAAAGAAAAGAAAAGAAAGCCTTGTTGGAGGCTAAGCTCATTTGTACTCTGGGAGTTTCATCTGTGATGTCCTGCCTAACTCAGAGTCTAAGCATTTGGCTTTCCTGGCCAAAACAGTACTTTGAACTGGTGCCTCTGCGCCTGATCTCTCTTTGGGTCGCACCCGGCCCTTCTCTCCCTTTGCTTGACTTGCCATCTCACATTCACCCTGCTGGGACTTGACCAGAGGCCTCGCCTGACACCACAGTAGGCTTCAATTCACCTGCATGATTTGTGATGGCCTTCCTGTTGGTTGCGTAAACAGTTACACGTATGTGGTCCGTGTACTAATGTACGTTCTACTTTCTGTAGACATAAAGGATCTCTCTCTTTCTCACTCTCTCTCTCGCCACATTCAGCAGTGCTCAGGAATTCCTCCTGGCAGGGCTTGGGGGACCCCATAGCATGCAGGGATCAAATGGGATTGGCAACTTTCAGATGCTCAGCATCTCCAGTGTTGGATTTTAACTTCCATTTTCTCTCCTTGGCCAGTGCTACTGAAGTTCCGCACGGACAAAGGCAGAGACCCGGCCTCCGATAGCTTCGGGGAAGACTCGGAGCTTTTGCTTCAGATCCGCAATGATGTCCTGGACTCCCTGGGGGTCAGTCCTGACCTGCTGCCCGATGACTTTGTCAGGTGGGTCTCTGCCTCCGTTGACAAACCGTACCTGCCTGAATCTGGGGGTTTCCTTTGTGAAGACCAGAGATCCTGGGGTGTGCCTCCTGTTTCACCCGTTGTTGCATTCTCCGTAGACTGTCGCTCTCATGTCAGGCTGAGCTGGAGCTGGTCAGGGCCTGTTCCTGACAGTAGATGGGAGTCACATAGTTCAAAGTTGAGGGCACTAGGATGTATGTCCAGACTCTGCCATACCTTTCTATTTCCTTGTGTTATCACCTGATGCCCCCATGTCCACAAGGTCCTGCGGGGCTCTGAGTGCAGGATAAGTGACTGGAAGGGACAGGAGCAGGTGGAAAGTAGGAACCAATTTGTTGCATGCTGCCCGTTTGCCTCCTTTTGATGGCTGGTTCATCTGGACCCAAGCCGCCCGGAACAGGAGCCTGTTTTCCAGCAGCCTGGCCTGTGGACACCCGTCTTTTGCCCTTGGACACAATCCGTTGAGGATTTGGTTAACAAGGTCCAAATGATGACTGGGTCATGGGCCCCTTCCAAGCAGTGCCGGGGCCATCTGCTCATTCCCATTCTCTTACGGTGTCTTTGGGGGCCTCCCAGCACCGCACGGCTGTGCCTCCCACTTGGAGCATTAACCATGATGGCTGTTCTGTCAAGAGCAGCTTTGATGGGCCAGGCACTGTGGGGGCTACACGGGCTCTCTCCCCACCAGCCCTCCAATGGACCAGGAAAAGTTGGAGCTCAGAGGAAACAGGTGTTGAGGACTTGCTGGGCCGGCTCCACACAGCCCACCTGCTTGGTCACAGGCATCCCTTGAAGCACTCGGGTTTCCCAGACACCGCCCTTCGAGACTGGCAGTCACTGGACTGAGGTAGCAGTAGGTGGCCACGCAAGTCTCCCCAGACTCCACACAAACACCTTGGCTGCATTTCAGCTGGAAGGTGACTCAGCCCATGCCCTCGTGAGTGGCTGGAAGCCTCGATTTCTTGGCCTGCAGACCCTCCCAATTCAGATCTGGCTACAATCTAGAACCCACGTGCCAAACCCTCAGCCAGGAACAGGCGGCACAGTACATGGTGCTCCGACAGGCAGAGAGTCTCTGCCTAACCCAGGACTCATGTCGGACAGGGACAGGGACCCAGCACTTGGGAGAGACTTCAGGCCTCGAGTACACAACTGTGTAGCCGTTTGAGCTTTGGAGGTGAGAGAAAGGCCATGAGGGGGTGCTTTGGGGGCCCTGCCGGCCTCTCTCCACCTGGACACCCTCACCCCTCTCAGTTGCCCCTGAAGTAAGAGGTGTCCGGGGAGCCTATCTGCGGCTTGGGAGGAGACCAGGCCAGTGCCGGCAAGGAAATGAGCTGCCGTCTGGCAGCGGGCTCCACGCACAGCCGCCCGCTGCCAGCTCCCAGTTCTGTGCTCACTTGAGAGGGAGGCTGTGCACCAGGCTCCGTCTCCTCACCACCCTGCGGTCTGCTCGCTCTGTCCTTCTGCCGTCTTATTTCTTCTCCCCGCTCAGAGCTTGCTTGCTTTTCGGATGCTGAGAGCAACAGACGCCCGCTGCCAGGAAGTGTAAAAGGGCAGAGAGGCTCGCTCTGCGCCCCAGCGCTTTGCCAGAACTGGGGCTAGCCTTGCAGACTTCGCACTGTGTTTGCTCGCAGGTTTTCTCTCTCCCTGTCAGAGTGAGCCCGGGCGCTCCAGACGAGAGCCTCCTTCTGTCTGCATGGCGCGGAGCTGTGTGTCAGAAACCCAGATCCCCGCGCTCCGCCACGCTGCGCTAGCTTCATTGTCTGAGATGTAGTTACTGACTTAACCATTACCGCACTGGCAGGCTTTTAAACTGTTTTTAGTTTTTCACCAGTCTAAACATTTATCATAAACATTCACATTTTGTTTATGGAATGTAACGTCTGTCTTTTTTTTTTTTTAAAAAAAAAACTTTATTGTGATAAAATATATGTAACACAAAATATAGTATTGGAATCATTCTTCTTTCCTTTTTTTTGCATCAGATTTTTTTTTATGGTGCCAGGGTTTGAATCCTGGGTCACACCTGCACACACATTATACGCTTCACCTTCTGTGCTGTATGCCCCACCTTTTTTTGTTTTGAGACCACACCTGTGGTGTTCCAGGATTGAACCCAGGTATCCTGCTCGCTGTGCTCTCTCTCCAGGTCCCCCCACCTTTTATTTTTCTTCAAGGCTCCTGGGGCCCATTGCTGTAGTACAGTGTGAGGGTGAGGAGGGATGGTATGGTGACCAGGATCAAACTTGGGGTCATAGAGCTATCTTCCCCACCCCATTTCAACCATTTTCTTATTAGTTTGGTGTTGGTTTGGGGGCCATGTTCGGCAGTGCTTGGGGAGCCCTGCAGTGCTGGGGTGTAACTCCCTGATTTTTTCCCTTCAGCTGTAATTAGGCACCAGGATGTACTGTTCAGTTCGGCCTAGTTGGCTCCCAGTAGCTTCCTGCTTTCTCCCAATCCAGTTTTCTCTAAGAAATTTGATTAATCTAGATGTCTTACAGAAATAGAACCATATTTGTCCTTTTTATGTGTTTAATGGGGTTCTTGGTTTTTGATTTGCCATTTATTGAGGTTGAGGAGCACCCAGTAGTACCCAGGGCTACTCCTAGCATAGTGCTCATGGGACTGTGGTGCCACTGATCAAATCCAAGAATCCCACATGCAAACGTTGTGCTCTAGTGCTCGAACTATCTCCCTGGCCTTCAAACTTCCTGTTCTGGATTTTGAGTTTTTTTGTTTGTTGGGGGGAGGAGAGCACTGTTTGTTTGATTCTGGGGCCAGTAACTTTTTTTTTTATATCTTACCTTTTTATATGTTTTTATATTACAGAATATATAAAGTCAGTATCTGAGTTTGTTCTTTTGTTTTTTATTTTTCTTTTGGGATCACACCTAGCGATGCACTGGGTTACTCCTGGATCATTCACTCAGGAATTACTCCTGGCAGTGCTCAAGGGACCATATGGGATGCTGAGAATCAAACCCGGGTCGGCCGTGTGCAAGGCAAACGCCCTACTCGCTGTGCTATCACTCCAGCACATATTTTTTTAAATAATGCGGTTTTTTTTTTTTTTTTTTTTTGCTTTTTTGGTCACACCTGGCGATGCACAGGGGTTACTCCTGGCTCTGCACTCAGGAGTCACTCCTGGCGGTGCTCAGGGGACCATATGGGATGCTGGGAATCAAACCCGGGTTGGCTGCGTGCAAGGCAAACGCCCTATCCACTGTGCTATCTCTCCAGCCCCTGCAATCTTTTTTTTATTTAAGGGCCAGAGAGAGAGCACAGTGGGTGAGGTGCTTGCCTTGTAAATGTGGCTGACCCAGGTTCAGTCCCTGGCATTTCATATGGTCCCCTGAGCACCACTAAGAGTGATTCCTGAATGTAGAACCAGAAGTAAGTCCTGAGCACTACTGGGTGTGGCCCAAAATAAGGGCTGGAGAGATAGCACAGTGGGTATGGCGTTTGCTCATACATGGCCAAACTGGGTTCCATCCCCAGTACCACATTGGGTCTCCTGAGCACAGCCAGATGTAAGCCCTGAACATCCCTGAGTGTGCCTCCCTTTTGTATTGTTTTTGCTTGGGGGCCACGCTGTCAGTTCTCAAGGCTTACTTTGGACTCTACACTCAAGGATCGTGCCTGCACAGTGAAGTACATTCTGCTTTGTTAATGATCTATGAGAGTGTGTGCGTTTGGGTTTTGTTTTAGCGTTCCATGAGAATGTGTGGGGATAGTGAATTGTCGCCACTGCCACAATGAAGATTGGGGGACCAGGAATCCCGCTCCATCGCCAAGTATTTGCTTCACATAGTACAGTTTCATCACCAACAATAACCTCTCATGGTGTCTCCCCTGGTAATCAGTTACATGGTTACGTCTACCTTTTGTCCTGCTCATGCTTCCAAGTAATGTCTTTCACTTAATGCATTGGCCCTTTATCCATATGGGAGTGGATAGTTCACCTCTGATCGCTGAGGGCCCTGGTCGGTCGGGATGGTTTGGTCACCAGGTTTGTTAGCAATTCTTGGACTATTGTCCTGCTGTCGGCATTCACAAGTTTCTGTATGAACGTTTACAGTAGGTTCTCGGAGGGTACCGGGGTGGGACCGACAGCTCATACAGTGACTTGGTGTCGGTCCATTTGAGGAACTGCCGGGTGTCTCCCACTGCAGCCATGCCCCTTGGCACCCCACCTGCACTTCCCCCTCCTTGTCTCGGTTCACTGAGAGATAAGTCTTGTGGTTTGGGTTTGTGTCTCCCCGATGGGCACTGATGTAAAGAGTCTTCCTGAGAATATGTTCTTTAGAAGAGGGTCTCGGTGGGGCTGGAGAGACAGTAGAATCAGGATGGTGCTTACCTTCCATATGGCCAACCTGAGCACTGAGCGAGGAGTAAGCCTTGAGCACAGCCGAGTGAGCAAAAACTGATGAGGTGTAAATAGGGCCGGGGCTGTAGCTCAGTGGTAAAACACGCACTTGATGTGGGAGGCCTTGTTAAGCCCCAGCTCCTTTAGAAGTAAAAAGTTGTGGGGCTGGAGCAATAACACAGCGGGTAGGGCGTTTGCCTTGCACACGGCTGACATGGGTTCAATTCCCAGCATCCCATTTGTTCCCCTGAGCACCGCCAGGAGTAATTCCTGTGTGCATGAGCCAAGAGTAACCCCTGTGCATTGCTGGGTGTGACCCAAAAAGAAAAAGAAAAAAAAAGAAGTAAAAAGTTGTGGAAAAGTGCACAAATTATTTCATATGATCCCCTGACTATGCCCAGGGGACCATGTGCAGTACTGAGGATCAAATCAAGCTTGGCCCTCCCCATCCTCTGGATTTTCTCACCAATCCTATGTGCCCTTTTTTTGTATGTTTCAAGGGGCAAGGGTTACACCCAGTGATGCCCAGGGCTTAACTCCTGACGGGGACCAGATGGGGTGCCAGGCATGGGACTGACAGTGGGCTCTGTAGCCCTTGCCCCACCTGTTCCTGGAGCACCATGTCGTGTTTCTCTCTCAGGTACTGCTTCTCGGAGATGGTCCCCGTGTGTGCTGTGGTTGGCGGCATCTTAGCCCAGGAGATCGTGAAGGTATGTCGTCCCCGAGCAATACCCAGTGTGGTCTTATCTCAGGCCTTCCATCCATACCACCTCAGAGTAGAAGCCTGGGGAAGGTCAGTGCTGGGTGGTCGCTCATGGTGGTGCCAGGGATCAACCCTGAGGTTAACCATGCAGAGCACATCCTCCACCCGGCCCTGAGTTTCTCTCAGGCCCCGGACTCTGGTGTCAGGGGATCTTGCTATGTGGCCACAAAGGATCTGTGCTAACTGTAGGGTCCTGGGTGCTGCTGTGAATTCGGGTGGTGCCTCATATGCCATGTCAGGGTGGTGTGTAGAAGGTGGGGCCTGACTCTCCTTCATCTTGGTTTATAAATTTGCTCGGGACTTCTTGCTCTCTCTTCTGAAAGAGGTTCTTCCCTGCCCCCCTCTCAAGATCCTCCCGCCAGAGGATCCTTCTCTGTCCCCAGACCTGCCTTCTGTGGCACAGCCAGGGTTGTGCACATGGAGGAACTGGGGGGAACCAAGAGAAAGCACACACTGGCACCCCAGTTCCTTGATTGCACTTGCTTGGCCCAGATGGCCAGTATATTCCCCGTCTCGGTGTGACTAGGACTGAGGATAAGCCCTCAAAGATGGGTCAGATGGAAGAACGGCTGTGAGGCAGGGTCCCCCCTTCCTGTGGGCCCATGCCACAGTAGCAGTGGCCCGGTTAGGCCAGAAAGGCCCCGTGTGACCTGCAGTATCTGATGCAAGGCACCGGGATTTGAGCGCCACGGTCCCGTTTCCACACCTGTGCTCTCCACACTGGCCGCCGGGCCTGGCTGCTGCCCCGCCCCACCTGACCACCTTGCAGCAGCTCCCCAGCCCCAGAGCACTTTTTGGCCTCACCCACTGGGTGGGCCCTGGGGGCTGGAGCTGGGGGCGGCGCAGGTGGCCTTGACCCCGCTGTGTGTACCAGCCTCACGGGGCCCAGGCCTGACCCAGGCAGCCCCTCGTGCCCGCCCGCCCGCCGGCCCAGCTGTCGCCTCCCGTTTCTGTTTACCCCAGATGGCCGCAGCCGCATTCTTGGTCGCTGGGTGTGTTTGGAATCTCCTCTCATCCCATCTTGTTTGGGAAGCACTTTACCTTTTGCCCCATGTTCACCCCAGCCCTGCTGTCCTGTCCCCCACTCTCCCGCCCTCGCCACAGGCCTGCCTCCTGCCAGCTGCACTAGGGTCCCTGCTTATCAGACAGGGTCGGGGGGCAGGGAAGCCCCTTCCTCGGAACCATCTGCTACCTTCGCTCCCTGCCTGTGACCCCTCGGGCACACTCCTGCCCCCCAGCTCAGCCCCTAGCCCCCACGGCCACGGTCCCTGCTTCTCTGAACCCAGGTATGGGTACAGGGCTCCCAGTTGGTCCAACTTGGGGCTCCTGATCCTCAGATCTTCCTGAGGGATCCCTGGTTCCTCCTTAGGGAGAATCTCTCCCCCCCCCCACCCCCCGCACACACACCTTTATTTTTTTTGGTGGGCCAGGGATTGAGTATGGGCCCTCATGTGCAGGGCAGGCGCTCTCCCAGGGCTCCGCCCAACGTGCTCATAGCCAGCAGCGTGTTTGCCCTTTCCAACAGGGGGCAGGCTCCATGCTGGAGGAGCCTGGGGTTTGGTGTAAAGGCTCCTCAGGCAGGGGTTTGCCAGCCCTTGGCCTGGCCCTGCAGCCCCATTTTGCAGGTGAGCGTTAGTGCTGAGCCGAGGAGAGTTGGGCATGTGGAGAGCCAGTTCCTGCCCTTGTTTGTCCAAGTGGCCCTGTGAATGACAGCCAGTGTGTGCTCTGAATACTTCTATCCTGCTCTCTCACCCCATGGAGGTGAGACGCAGTTAGTAAGGGGATCCCAGGCACCACCAGGAGTGACCAGAAAGTCTTTGAGGACCAGGGGTCGGCCCGGGGCTGGAGCTTCTCTGCCGTTCCCAAGGCCCCAGGTTTGGCCACCAGCACTGCTGTCTCAAACTGCACCGTGATCTGGGGAGGCCCTGAGTACTGCTTCGAGACACATTAACCCCACCCCACCCTCCCAAAAAAATGTAGCTGAATAAACCTCTGGGTATAGTGGGCCTCAGTGGCAGAGCCCGCCAGGCTGCCTTTCAGAGGCTTGTTTTGAGGTGCTTTCTTGCTCCCCCATTTTCTCCTCTCCAACTTAAACCTTATTTTCTCCCCAGGCTCTGTCCCAGCGGGACCCTCCTCACAACAACTTCTTCTTTTTCGACGGCATGAAGGGGAACGGGATTGTGGAGTGCCTTGGCCCCCAGTGAGCTGGCCTTGGCAGCCTGGAAGAGTGTGTGCAGCGTGCCCTGTCTCCCCCCACAACCCCATGTGCCCTGTCCCCCTCCAGGCCAGCAAGTAGTGATGTCACAGTTGCCGCTTCCCTCCATCAGGGCGAGGGCTAGAGGCCAGCCCCAGCCCTGCCCACTGCTCTGAGTGTCTGTCTGTTCCCTAGAATTGCCCCTCGAGCCTCCATCCTGGTATCCTTCCGGATCACCCACCCCCCAGGGCCTTGTTGCTCCAGAGTCTCGGCCATGTTCCTGGCTGTGCTCTCTGTCTCCTCTCAGGGAGCGGGCTTCCGGCAGGGCGTGCGCCTGGCCCCGGAAACACCAGTGGCTCCCCCGTTTTGCGCGGGACTGGCACCCTGCGAGAGGAAGGCCGATGGAATGTATTTCCTCCGAAGCTGGAGATTCTGAAAAACAACAGGTGGCCTCTGGTGCGGGCGCTCGAGTTTAGTTTAGGATTAGTTGAGTTCCAGCCGGGTTGTGGAGGAGCAGAGACCTTCCGAGGTCCCGTGGGCAGGAGGGCAAGATGCTGCAACTGAATATGAGTGGGAAAACCGGTTTCCAACCGCAGGCGGCCTGGCTGCCCCAGGGGACTTGATGCTCGCGCAGGGCTGGAGAGCCAGCCCTGGGAGGGGGGGGGGGGCTGTTGGGTCGTCCTGCCCCCCCCCCCCCCACCATATCGCAGCTGTCTCTTGTTTTCTAGTGTTTCTACATTTCTTTGGTTTTTTTCAAATAGAATAATTGAAATAAAGTTTTTTGCTTTAGAATTTGTTTTTTGTCTGCGCCGGCAGTTTTCTCCCCAGGATGTGAGGCAACCAGTGGCCTTCCAGCGTGGCTGCTTTCACTACTCAGAGTTCTCTCTCACCTCTGAACAAGGCAGCAAAGTGGACTGGTTTCGATCCCAGAGAGCATCGGTGCTCCTGGTCTGTTGGGTTGTTCACAGTGGCTGTGGGGAGACACTTGGGGACTTGACACAGGAGGATGCCCAGTTCCATCCCCGGCATAGCCAGGAACAGCCCTGTATGTTGAGCCCATGGAAGCCCCAAGTATTACTGATTGTGACCCAGAGGTGGTACCACAGGGAAGCTCTTTTTGCACACGGCTGACCTGGATTCAATCCCCAACACTTCATATAGTCCCCCACTCCCCTCCAGGAATAACCCCTGAGTGCCAAAGCAGGAATTGGCCCTGGGCACCGCTGAGTATTGCCCCCTTGCTCCCCAGAGACACCCATAGCCATGTCCAGAAATGAAGTTGTCATGGATAAAACATGACATTGAAGCGCCCACATCTGATTCTCAGGGTGCCAGACATTGTGCTAAGAGCCAACAGCCTCATTTTCTCTTTTCTTTCTTTTTTCTTTTTTGCCACACCCGGTGGTGTACAGGGGTACTTCTTGCTCTGCACTCAGGAATGACTCCTGGGGTTGCTCAGGGGACCATATGGATGGATTGTGGGGTTTCGAACCCAGGTCTGGCCACGCTGTGTGCAGAGCAAATGCCCTACTCGCTGTGCTATTGCTCCAGCCCAGCAGCCTCATTTTCAAGCTGTAAATACTCAGCTACTTGGCCCCAGGCCCCAGGCTGGTAGGGGCAGAGCTTTCCATGGGGAGCACTGGGTTTGGTTTGGGAGGGTCAGAACCACACCCAGCTCAGTGCTTGGGCATTGCTTCTGCAGTGCTCAGACTGGGGCCATGGAGCTCCTTCCAGGTCTGTTCACGCCCCCTTACCGGGTCCCCCCCACACACACAGACACATCACTTGGGAGGGGCAGCGTGTGGCTGGTCAATCAGCAACTTGTGATTTGTCTTGCTGTATCCTCCAAAAGTAAAGGTGTGGGCTGTAGAGCTAGTGCAGGTGGCCAGGCACTTGCCTTGCACGAGGCCAACCGAAGTTCCATGCCCAGCACCTTGTAGGCCCCCCAGTCTGCCACTCCAGGACTGATCCCTGAGCAGTGCCAGGTGTGGCCCTCAGAAAAATAAAAAATAAAAGTAAAGGTCTTCCTGGAGCAGGGACTCCTTTCCCGAGTCCTGCTGCTCACACCCAGCCAGGGGCGCTTGATGTAACACCCTGGCCTGGAGGTGTTGAGCCGATTCTTCCGTTGCGATATAAGGATTTGGTCACAAGGGGGCGCAGGCAGGACTGTGCGGAGAACAATCCAACATTGTATCCAGCGCAGGAGGCTTTTCAAAACTCCTCCCTCGCACCTCCAGCGGCTAATTGAGTCATCCAGACAGGACCCCTGGGAAGGGGGGCTTTCAGGGGGGAGACAGGAGGGGTGCTGGAATCTGCAGCCCGAGCAAGAAATCTCATTCCCATTTCATTGTGACCATCTCCCATGCTGTGTATAAAAGTGGTGGACACGGGCTTCTCAAGCAAGCACACGGGCTTTCCATCCCTGCCATTGCGTGTGGTGGTTTCCCACCCCCACCCCCATGACCCCAGGAGTGACCCCCAAGCATCACCTGATGTGACCTACCCAACACCTCCTTAAATGGCCCTCAGGACAGGAGAGTCAGCTCAAAGGGCTGAGCACATTCTTTGTCAGGTCACCTGCCTCCATCCCCAGCCCCACTTGGCGCAGTTCCTCGGTCTCTACCAGTTGTTGCCCAAAACAAGAACAAAATGATGGCTCTCCCCACCCCTGGAGCCCAGGAAAGGTCCTCTGGTTTCTAGTACGCCTCCCCACCACCACCCCTACAAGAGATGTAGAGGTTGCTTGGGAATGCACTGCTGATCTGAAAAGAGGCACAAACTGGTAGCACTAGGATCACCCAGTGAAAGGAAACAGACTGTCTAGGGAAGCCAGGCTGCCCCGCCTGTACCTCTAACGAGGAGAAATTAGTCCAAGTTTGGGGCTGGAGACATAGCCCAGCTGAGAGGATGTTTGCCTTGCACACAGTCAACCCGGGTTCAATCCCTGGCTTCTCTTAGGGTCCCCCAAGCACCACCACCAAAAATAAACAAAACTCATTCCAAGTTCATGGCTGCTGTGATCCCCAAACTCAGCGTTTAACATGTTGAATCTTAGAGTGGGTGCTCCCATGTAATCCACTCGGGTGAAAATAGACACTGCCAAGATGGGCACTGGCCCCCACCCCCACCCAACGTGCTGCCCTTCCCCTGGGCTGTTCCTGCTGGTGCCTCTGACTCGGAAGATGATGAGTGGGTATTTGCTGAGGTAGGTGCTAGGTGCCATGCGCACCTTTGGAGGTGGAAAAGTGAAGGCTTAATTCCAGCTGGCTCTGGGCTCGCCCTGCTCTGTATATTCCCCATCGGAGAAGCCCATGTTGAACCTCCCCAGGAAAAGCTGCAGAGGGGCTACATCTAGAAAGCTGCTGCCACTTGGTTGGTTCTGTGTCCCCTGCTTTACAGTGTGACTTCCTGTTCTCCCCAGACATCTAGAGAGACATGCTGGCTTTGCCTTCTGCAGCCCCAGAGCCCAAGTGTGCAGGGCCACTGCTGAGGGTGGTGTGTGCGCTGGCCCCATAGGGCAGATGTGTGCTTTTTTGTTTTGTTTTTCTTTTGGGGGCTCTGCACTCAGAAATTACTCCTGGCCGTGCTTGGGGGACCATATAAGATGCTGGGAATTGGACCTGGATTGGCCGCGTGCAAGGCACATGCCCTCCCCACTGTGCTATCACTCCAGCCCCAGGTGTGTGTTGTTTTTCAGCTGATCACGCAGACTGACAGCCACTTGAAGGCTCACTGACTTCACAGGAGAAAGGGGGTTGCCTGAGCAACTTAGGGTTGAGTCTACTCCCACTGCCCCCTCCCTAGTGGCCCTGGCAGCCATAGGCCAGAAATCTATCAGACAGACTCAAACCTTCACTCGACCCTTAACTGTGACCCAGGCACCTCAGTCACCCCATCTATAAAGTGGGGGTTCAGTGAATGATGGGATTCTTTGAGAACTTGTTTCAAGTTTATGGCTGTGGGGCCGGAGCAATAGTCCAGCGGATTAGGTGTTTGCCTTGTACACAGCTGACCCAGGTTTGATTCCTCAGCGTCCCATAGGGTCCTTGAGCACCGCCAGGAGTGATTCCTGAGTGTAGAGCCAGGAGTAATCCGAGCATCGCCAGGTGTGACCCCAAAACAAAAAGGCCAAAAATAAGTTACCATGTTCCTGGCTGCTGTAATCAGCCAACCCCACATCCATTTCAGGCACCCCATAGTTTATATTCCTTCAGCACTGCCAGGAGTATAATTCCTGAGTACCGCCAGTGTGGCCTTACCTCTCCTCCAATAGCTGGTTTTCAGGGTTTGTTTACTTTTTTTTTTATTTTGGGCCACACCCAACAGTGCTCAAGGCTTACTCCTGGTACTGTGCTCAGGGATTGCTCCTGGCAGGATCAGGAAAGCATTGGGGATGCTGGGGATCGAGCCTGAGACCCTGGTATGGCAAGCACCTTAACCTTGTACTGTCTCTCCAGCCCCTCCAAATAGCTTTTAGGCTACTTTGCCTGTTCTTGCTCCTCTTCGAAAGCCTTATTGGTCCATCAAATTCCGAAGCCTGAAATGACCCTATGTTATCTCATCAGTGGGCTGGTATATGATGTGGAGCTTGTTTTCTTGGTGCCTTTGGGAAGGGCTCAGTCAAGCTGTCCTTGCTTTGGGTGAAACAACCCACCCCCAAGAGTTGGGGACAAGAGCACTGCGCATGACATTTTAATTTGGGAGTAGATAATGCACATAGGTGACATAGAAGTTTGAAGCTGATCTAGAGGGCGTGTTTGCCATGTGAGAGCCCTAGGTTCAATCTCCCGCACCGAGTGGGCTCCCAACCACAGGGTCTAGCAGGAGAATAGTGCCCTCCCACCCCTGCATCACCAGTGTGACTCCAAAATGAAAGGAAAACCAGAGGCCAGAGAGATGGTGCAGGGGTAAAGCACTTGCCTCACATGTAGAAACCACAGCCCTCATCCCTTAACTATTGCCATGGGCAACCTCAAAGTGAGTTGGGAGTAGGTTTGCTAGCACTGCTGGACGTGGCCCCCAAACTAAACGGAAAATTGAATCAGAGAGATAACACAAGCCGTCCTTGCATCC